GGTGCATTTATGCACATTTTCTCAGGGGCAAACTACTAAATGCAGAAATAAGCTCAATATATACAATGATTTATTCAATTCAAGTTAGAACCGAGTGCTTTTTTTCTCAGAGCAAGTTAGCTACCTGCAAAAAGTGGTGAAGTGTTGAGGAAGGATCTTGTTTATCTTTATAACAGCTGTTTGCTTGGTAGGTACATGGTTGTTGAAACCTGGAAGGTCACCCAGGCTAACTAGCATAGTGTAGCGCTGGCTTGTATTTCTGATAGATGAGGTGTTATCAAATCAAACTTTATTTATATAGCACCTTTCATGCAGGTTGGTGCAATTCACAATGCTCCGATGCTTCACATATGATAGACAATATGATAATAAGACAGACATATGAGGAAAATAAACAGCAAGAAAGAAAGCAAACTATTTATCATGAATATTTCACCCTACACACTTTGTCTTTTCTCTCTGCATGGGTATGGGGATGTCATTAGCAGACCATATGGATTAGCATACAGTAATAACAAGAATTAAGACTCACTGTCGTTTAATTTGGAGCGTTGGTCGGCTCTGACCACTGTGATATAACATTTTAAATAACATGAACACAAAGAGCTCTAAAGAGGCCACATTGCACAACAATGGTGGGACTTCTAATATTTAAATGGAGTCTAAATCATTAAGAAACCACGTGGGAAGCAGACAAATGCAGACAAAAATTAAATTGTAAAGAGAAAATGCAACAGTAAGTAGTACTGCGTGAGTGCTGTACTGCAGTGAGGCCTTTTATCAATTGGTATTCAGTCTGACCTGTCTCTCTGCTGTGGTTGTGTACTTAATTACCAAGTCCTCCCACATGCAGTGCTTATTTCATTTTGTCTATTTTTTATTTCTCCAAGGCTCTGCCTATAGAGGTCCACATCATTTAATGAAATTAGTACTGGCTCCATAGCAGCTCTGCTTTCTACAACCACACCACTTCACTGTAATTAAAACTAAAAGCATTGTACATTCTGACAGAAATATCTGAGTGACTGTGATACCAGGATGCTACAGCAGTAGCGCTCTCCTCTTCTCACTCTGAACTATTGACCCAACGCTGGAGATAATAATTGTCACAACTTTGAAAGACCACCAGATCAAGATCAGGGGTACGAGCTGCATGACGCGTTGGTCGTGACCCTGAGGTCAAATCAGTTTTAAATAAGTCAAAATCAAATTCAGTTTGATTCCAGGCTGTGTGAGGAAGGAAAGGGAAGTTAGAAGAAGTTAGCCGACAAAGACATATTCTCTTTTTGTTTTCTGGAGGGAGGAGCATTGTTTCCAAAATCATGGCTTAGGCCCCGGCTACAACAACATGCTGATAAATCAGATTTTTCCAAACTATACGTAACATCTCTCCTTGCACAGAAACAAGAACACATCACGTCTCTTCATTTGTTTTATTTTCCTGCTGTGTCAGGTGTTTGCAGACAGAAAGATTGAAAGCCAAATTCTAATCATGCAGGAATCACTTTTCTTGCACGCACTTTATCTGCATCAGAAGATTTCTTTTTATTGTTCTTTCCAGTTTGGGATTTATCTGCTGCTGCTTTTGTCTCAGCTTCATCTTTCCTCTGTTGGATATGTTGACTTTCTCGAGACGCCACTCTTTTCTTCAGCCACGATGGCCACAGCTGATCAGAACACTGCGTCCTCTACATGAGTTTGGACGTTTTAGAGCAGAAAAAGGATGTTTTCTTGTTCGGGCATTCGGTTGAATCCCTCTTGAATGGCCTTAAAACACAAATAGATCATAACACGTGATAAAATAGTATATAATTGTGAAATAAATGGCCCTATGGCTTCAATGTCTTCTGTCTTTAGTGTGTGAAGGATGAGGAAGCGCACAGTGCAGTGCGGTGGCACCACACACGGCTCGACAGCAGCGGTCAGCTTATCAGGCGGCTTCATATCTCTGTATCACCCTCTTGCTGAGTATTGAGCCAGGGAAATGTGGCTCAGCGATCAACCAACCTGCTCCATTGATTAACAGCGTTTCTCTCATTCCTGGCCAAGACGTTGGCTTCCCCCAACATGTGTCGTTTGTTTGAGGAGAAACAACAAGGAGCGGCGGCATGTGTTTGTGTGCTTATGGTACGTTTGCTCTGAGGAGAGGGTTCACTTCCAGCTGAGCCACTCTGCATTTAAAGCTAGCAGCCAAATGCTTCTCATATGGAGAGGGGCTCTATAAAAATCCCTTCTCAGTTTGAATGCAAGTATCTCAGTGTTCGCCTGCTGGGCCTGATCTTCCTATTGGCTCAAAATTTTGGCCCCTGTTGTACCCTAAAGTAAACCATTTTGTACACCCCCCCCCCACCCTTTCCTCAAAGCATTTATCCCCCCGTAACCTCCTCTCATCACAAACACATGCACATACTGTACACTTTTGGATTTTGCATCCCAGTGGGTGTGTGGACTATTCAAACATCCTGACTCAGAGATTTAAAATGTCATTTAAAACCCATTGAATGCTGTTAAAGCTTGTTTTATTTTCCAGTGTTACTACAAGGTCAGTTTGCACCAACAGCTGATGAGCGATCAATAGCAGATTTGAATTTAAAGAGCTGTGGCCCCAGGGCGGTTAGTTGCCGGTGCATGGTGTTACCACAGGGGGGGCTAAGCCCAAGGGCTCAACAGAGACCTATATCCTTCCACACACCCTCCACCCCACCTCCCAAAGCTTGGTTAACACTCAAGACCATGATTAATTCATGGTGGATTACAGTCTGGAGGCTGGGGAGAAAACTGGGATGCCATACAGTCCTAACTGCACGCAAAGGGTTAGGGAGATAAAGCTTCCCCCGGATTCATGCCACAATCCCACTGCCCGACTCATTTCCCTACAAGTATGAATAATTTTTCTTGCTTCCTGCAAAAGATCACGCCTCGGTGTTTGGCCGTCTTGATTATTATTACGGCTATGTTCACCGAAGTAAGTTAGGAGAAGTCCCTCCCAGCCGCCGGGCCGCACTGCGAGAACAGTCAGCTGCAGGGAATAATAATGTCGGAGCCGGCTAATAAAAGCATAACAAGCAGCACAGCCGTGGTCACGGCAATTTTATCATTGTCCTTCACAGTTGCCCAGCTAACCGCTTGTGATTAGCTGACGAGCTCGGGTAACTGAATGGAAGAATTTCAGGCCCGAGCCAGTGTAGATGGGAAGAGAACATGGAGAAGTGGCGCCTGCATAAGTTGTTAATTCGCTCCTCCTTGTGTCGGCCAAAGCCAGCCAGTCCAAAAAGTGTCTTCATGACAGAGAGAAAGGTTAAATCAACAGATTCCTTCTTATTTTTTCAGACCCTTATTCCATTTGTCTATTAATTATTGACAATTAAAAGACATCGGGATTTTGTGCAACACTGCAGCTGGGAAAAAATAATGGCATTACAAAACTCAATCTGTAAAAGCATGAAGTGTGTTTCTACAACTCAGCTAAAAGCTTTTTCCCTTTTCAGTGTATTTTTGTCACTTTGCTCTAACGGCTGTTTCAAAGTTTTCAAATCCTTTTAATCAGAATTGACAAATGTTTACCTGTCACCGTGTCTGCAAAAGCCAATTATTTCACACTCCAAGTGAATGGAAAATTAGACGTGCAGACAAAAAGCGTTCGTTATGACGTGAGTGACACTGGCCTGATAAGTGCTTCTCAGAGAGAGTCCTGTGATGCACGGCTGTGCTGACACTGCCTGAACACGCGGTGATGTAATACACTGCAGGACCGCCGCTCAGAAGAAACTGTGTTGAAAAAAATCATAAGCATATTTTCTAGTTTTATTAGAAACACATTTTGTCAACATGTTGTATTTATACAGTGAATGGTCTAATATGCACTGGAGGTCACATAAGCTTAGGTTTATTGGAACATTAAAAGACATATCATGAGGGCTCGATATTCAAAGAGATGTAGCAGCTACTAGCTGCATATTTGACCATCAATTTTTAATAGTTTTTCTCCTTTGAAGACACAAAAATAAAACCTGTCTAAGTATGTTGTATTAACAATTTTATGAATGTATCGTCAGCAGACTAAAAAATTAAGAAGTCAATTACTCCTTTTAACACTTACATTTTGTCTCAACACATTCTGCAGATAATGGTGCAAAGCACTTTAACAGTGTTTGTGCTATTTTTTT